ACGCAACCGGGTGCCTCACTTTTCTTAACAAATATTTATTTCTAACAAAATTATATTTAGGTTCCTACTTAATAAAGTTTTATTATCATCACTATCGGTTACCAAATAACGAACAAAATAGCAAAATAAAAATTGTGTACAGCGCGGATTCTCTACCATTGTGTCTTCTTGATAATTGTGGCGAAAACACCAAATGTAAGAAAATGTTATGATGTAAGGTATTTCGATGATTTGTAATTTATTTTGGATATAATGGCAATTTTATTTTCAATTCTCTTCTTGGATCTGTGCTAGATCTAGATCTCTATGCTACATAGATACTTACTTACGCATGGCTTAACATTTCACCCGGTGTCAATGGCGTGAACCAAAACTAAGTAAGTGCGCGTCATTGCGCTATTATAATAATGTTTATTTCTGTCTATGATTTAATATTAGCATACGCACAAATAACAACATAGAATAACTCTTTTTCTTCTTTTTCTATTCTTCGGTTGAAGATTGCACTGCGCTCGTTGAGTCGTTAAAATCGATTGTTATTATTGGTACATTAGAGCGAAAGACTTTAACTAGCTAATCAAAACACCGAAAAATATTTAATTATGATTTCAAAATCCTTTTCAGTGTGCATACGTGAAATCAATTAGCAATTGCAATCAAGAACAATTTTATGACTTATCAAATCGATTCAACTCGCGAGATGTAAAACGAATCGATGGACAGAGCAATAGTCGAAAGGTCTCCTGGCTCTCATAGTTTTTAATGTCACTTGCCAAATAATGCAACAGGCTTAGCTTGGGTTGCGGCATACGCATAACAATTGTAACCGTATTATTTTGACACACTTTGTTTGATCATGCATAAGATAGTTAAGTTTTATTGATATGTGTGTTTACCAATCTGCAGTTGCTGCTTTTGCTGTGCTACTTTTAGGAAATTTACGAGTATAGGGTACAGTTCAGTGGATATACTTGTGTATTTGAGTAAGACGGGAAAAACCTCGTCAAACTAAATGGTCTTTTCAAAGGAGTAAATAAAAAAGAAGACCCTGACTTCCGTTACACAATATTCTACCTACTCGTATATCTAGCTTAGTATTTACTGAACTCTACATAATACGACGGAAAGTATTATATTTTAGTTTAGCGTTTTGTTACTGGTAATTACTATATGTTGGTCTTAAAGCCTATGTTAATGTATTTTTTTAAACTTATGTTTATAAGCACAAGGATCACCCTTTTTAAAGAGAGAAATAAAGTTATTATTTATTTATTTAACCGGTTTCAAAAAAGGAAGAGGTTCTCACCGTTTTTTAACACAATGATGACATGTAAATCGTATGCGAATCAAGAATGTATCTGACAACGATGTTGTGAAATAAAACATAATGTTTCGTGGCTCTAATAAAGCTAATTAAATGTTGTTCCATTTTACATAATTTTTTTGATAACACTAATTGACTTACACCATTTTTAAGTAATTTATGAACCATAAAAGATAAAAATCTATGTAATACACATGTTTTTTTAGCAAAGTATTTCACTGATGTATAAATGCATGTTCTTTAAACTCGATACATATTTTTTTCTTCTTTCCAGTTTGTTTGTATAATCAGGATATAAATCTTTAGTCTTCGGTAATTTATTATGTGATCCAGATGTTACAAGAATTTCATAAACATTGTTGCTGTTTTTTAACAAAACATTATGATAAATTATAATGGGAATATTATTCATCTCGACTGTACTACGAGTGTGTAAAGGTTGTCAGAGTGTAGCAGCTGATATTGTTTTTAAGAGGTATGCAAATGTCGTAATATATTTCAAACCAATGATTCATCAATGTAATTACGGATGGCTAGGTAGCACAGTCGTCATAACTACGTGTGAATTTTATTCAAAATATTTTTTTTTCTTAATATTATGCATTCAATGCCAATATTCGTGATTTAAAGTGACAGTCTTCATGATACGTAGCAATAGGTCATGACCTGCATTGCACTCAACAAAACATAGGTACAGTGACGTGCAAAAACAATCATGACAATGATTTATTTTAATTAACCAGTAGCTGTTTTGTTCGTCATGCTAATATTCATGTTTTTACAAATGTATTGTTATAACACCTACGTGTACATTTTGAATGGCTAACAAATTTTTTGGCTTTAAATGCGACTTGTCAGGGCACTAGTGTTTCCCATATTTCCTTACGGTGTTGAGACATGGACTCTGGGAGAAAGTGAGAAGAAGAAAATAGACGATCTAGAGATGTGGTGCTGGAGAAGGATGCTTGGCATAACATTTATAGAGGTGAAAACTATAGGATTTGACCAACTACACTGTATCTATGCAATTTATCCTATTTGTAAGCTGTTTGTTATCTGAATAAAACAAAACAAAAAAAATAACCTGGACACAGTTCCGAACCAACGCCTCCATCATCCAAGAGCTTGATTTCAAACAGCGTCTTTCTTCCATCGTCCAAAGTCGTATTCTCACTTTCTTTGGCCATGACGTGGAGACGTCGCTTATGTTGAACGACTTCTCGTGCAGGGGAAGGTTGAGGGCACAAGTGCGCGCGGCAGGTCACTGACTGACCAGGTCAAAACCGCACTCAATGGTCCACTCCACGAGTGCACAAGAAAAGCTGCGGTGCGGGAGGAATGGCGACGGATTGTGAGACTTGCCACCAGACCTGGTGTGACAACCACGACCACACTGGCAAGAGTGTAGCGACGAAGAAGAAGAACTAATTTTTTAAACATAAAATTAATTCGTCATTCTTTCAAAATATAAAACATAATTATTAATCTTTTATGCTCGCTTATTAAAAAAACAGTCTATATCTGATTTTAAATACTGAAAACTTTGAAGACATCATGACATTAAATATTTTATCGATAATTTTAATAAAGTTAATGTTCACATCTTGGTTTAACGTCAGCTCATTAAGTAATATTTTTTGCATATAAGTAATATTTTAAATAAATCAGAATATTTTACTTTTTTATGGCTATAAAAACTACTTCGTTAGTACCACTACATTATTTATTCATTGGTGTCTCTAAGTGAAAGGTGTCTTAGATAAAAATACCTTCTTTCCATTGAAATTGTGTAACAAAATCGTGTTAAAATAACAGATTAGTATTCAAAACAACATATTTATAGGTTTACACAGCCAATGCTATTAAGTGTACAATAAAAATCGAAGATGATTTGTGGTTCATCCGCATTAATAGTGGGTCACGACTTGTTCTTGAGCATTGCATTCTCGGCATTGCATTGCTGACTTTTATATCCTATCTTGTTTAATACATTGTTTAAACCTTAGTAAAGTAAATATTTGTAGGCAATCATTTTGGCTTTACAAGATCGAATCAGAAATGAGGAGATCCGTAAACGAACTAAATTCGCTGACATAGCACGACGAATTAGCAAGCTGAAGAGGCAATGGGCAGGGCACACAGTGCGCAGAAGTGACGGCCGATGGGGCAGCAAGATTCTGGAGTGGAGGCCGCGTAGCGAAAACGCAGCGTCGCACCTCCACCCATAAGGTGGACCGACGACTTCTTAAAGGTTGCAGGAAGGCGCTGGATGTAGGCAGCGACCAACCAGGTGATGTGGAAATCATTGGGCACCTATGTTCAGCAGTGGACGTCTTGTGACTGAAATAATGATGACGATGAATACCTTGATCTACTGGTCATTTGACTACCGATACGGTTTTGTTAATTTGTTTACTACCTCAAAGCTTTTATACATATATTTGTCCTAAGTACTTTTATATCTACGTCTTCCCAAACTGATTTTCAGGAAAGAAGGGCAAATCCGTGCCTTTGCCCTTGGCAATTAGTTACCAGTGGGTCTTTAATAATATAAGGGTCCTGAATAAAATAGGTAAGGCTGAGTTGAAACACATAAACACTGTCCAGCAGTGGACGTCTTTCGGCTGAAACGAACGAACGAACCACTTAAATTTGATCATAACTTTGACGATAACCGGTGTTTTTTGTATTTTATTTTGTATGTAGTCTGACATATTTTTGACGTTTGTTAAAGTTAAAGTCAGATGGTGCAACCCAGCCTAACTCTCATTGCTTTTACACTTTATAACTTCTCGTATTGTTTTTAAATTTCTGTGAAATTGTGATGAATCAACACGAATGCCTATCTCCACTCAATAAAGTAAGAGCAATTTAGCACAACTATGATATTGCTGAATCGGCCAATCTCAGTCACCACTACCTTACAAGACATTTCAAGCAAAGTTGCCTACTTATAAAAGGAAGCCATTACAAAATTAATAGAGGAAGCTTATGAATTTCTTTAGGTGCTCCAATTATTTTTGTTTTTTAACGTAGTACATCGTATCGAATTATGACGGTCCACTAATAAATAGGTAGGGTAAATAAGTAACCTACAGTTTCTTTCAGTAAATTTTCTCTTAAATGCAATAAGCGTATTCTGATTTTAGGGACCAATGTTATTAGTTATTTTGTTATCTCTTGACTATTTCTATTAAAAAGTTATAATTAGTAGATTTTGTTTCACAAAAAATAACAAAAAATAAATTTTAATGTAACTCTGAATCCTGACTATTATTCAATAGCAGAAGTTACTGAACATATTGCTATTTTGTGTTTGGCGTGTCTGTAGTTCTGTACAACAGTAAATTTATGATTATTCTTTATATACGAGTATGTACTCGAAGTGACAATAGCCCAACAATTTCAATGCTGGATTACCGATTCAAGGGTTGCTAGTTCGATCCCCGTCAATTGCTAAAGTTGTGTGATGATTCCACCCTTAGCAAAAGCAGGGCATGAGGTAGATGGATAGATTAAAATAGTATAAGAGGTAGGATATAGATCATTACCCATAATGTGTAACGAGAATGGTATCTCAAATATTTTTTTAAGCAAAGAATCTGTAGGAATCGCTGCTTGCTTATGTAATTAAACGGTAAATAACAAACTCCAATAACATTATTTCCTTACAATATAATTTTATTTTAAATAATAAATATGTTTCCTAAGTTTCTATCTAAAAGAAGGTTCCAGGAGAGTTTGCGTATGGCCCGTCCGCTTCGAATCCGTCGTACTCGGGGAACTGAGGGCTCACTTTCGGGAACACTGGAACAATAATAAAGTGTTTCTATTAATAAATAGACTGTACATCATCAAGTATCATAATTTATTAGTGATTCATTGCGGCAGTGTCATTAACGTTCGAGTTAAGCAAAGTTCTGGATTTATTAATTAAGTTCTTCACAATGCAAGTATCAACTGTTCAATCGTGATCCCATCCCAGCTCCAGTTTTAAACAGATTTTTTAACCCGTAATAAAATTAACCAAAAGAAAATAGGAAAAGCTGAAGGTCAAATTCCCTTTAATTTCATGCACAGTGGATGAGAATAGACAAATGACGAACAAAGGGATAATAAACCTTCGATAAAAAGGTAAACAACACAGAAAGTACATAAGTGCTTTGCTTTTATATAAATTAAAACAGATATCAATTAGGTTTGATAACTATAAGAAATAAGTTAAACTTTAACACCATCCCTAATACCAGTTTCGCTCTTAATGATTCATTGGCATGTGATTCTAAAAAAACTTGAAATACCATTAAAAGACCATGTAAAGTAAAATTAGCAAACAATGGCCGAACAAAATGAGTGATCACTATCCGCTAATTGGAGAAGGACAATAGAACACCTCTTTGCTCGCTACAGAGAGTTCAGTTAAAAAAGCATTTAAAATAAATGTTCATATCTTTTAAGTTTCCTGACAGAATTTCATGTTTATTTAACCTACTAACATGTTTGGTTGCCACATGCATATGTTAGTATTGCTAAAATCTAACAACTTATGTTGGCCGTGTTTCGTAAAACCAAGCCCAAAAAGATACTGCTTAGGTAAATCGAAGATCTAAATAAACTTTGTTATTTTTCAGATCTCTTCAGATCTATCTATCAGAAAATATCTTTCACTCACGTTGTAGCTCAGAAGCTAAGATTCAACTGTTCAGTGGCCACAGTTCCAGCTACTCATTTGTTGTCACGTTCTATCGCAAAGAATTACCATTAGAAGAGTGTGAAAGAAAAAATGAAAATGGGTAACTGGAACTGTGGTCCACTATCTATACAACCCGATCGAGATAACTGCGCACCTGACAGTCGTGACGTCACATCAACCCTCTAGTACGGACGAGAGGTGTGCGGATAAGTGGGAGGGAGAGTCGCATTCCAGCGAGGTGTTAGGTGTAAGGAGGTGGAGGCAGTTAACTCAATCGGTTTGTGTATCCCTTCTTAGACCCGTAATAAAATTTTATAAGTACCTACAAATACCAATCTATAAAAAACTTAAACTTACAGAATGACGCTGGCACAGGGTACGCCTGCTGATTGAAGTACTGGCTGGGCACCTCGACCGGTACCGGTATTGGTTTCGGTACGAACCGAATCACCGGCTTCACTTGCTGAGGAGGGGGCGGAGGTGGCGGGGGGGCTGCGTGGACGGATGGTCCGGACTTGGAGACGACCGCGTTGAAACCGTTCACGGAGTCTGCTGTGTAGTCCACGGTCCGGATCGAACCGTCCGGCTCTACTAGGGAGTATTGACCTGGAATTTGAGGAAAAACAAATTGAATCAATTGGGTGCGGTGGAAAATATACATTAACGGTGTATTTGTGGGTTTTTAAGGCAACGTTAAAGACTCCAAAAACGTAACGTAGAATGTGGGTAGGTATTATTCTTTTCTTTTTGCATTATAATGCATTTTCATTAAGCTATAAAATAAAATGTCGACACTATTTTTATATTGTTTTAGTAGAATCTTGGTAACAATCTCAACCGAAGAGTGTAGTTGCGATTTATGATTAAGATATACGAGTATACAGGATGTCCCAAAAAGTAATGTCAAGCAGAAGCCCTAGGTAGGTAGAGCATCACTAGGGCGAAAACTATCAAAAATCGCGGAATATACATGGGGGTGATTCGGATAGCCCTAGAGATGCTTCACCTCTGGGCTTCAGCTTGACACTACTTTTTGGGACACAATAAATTGCTTGCGATCAGTAAAAAAATTACGTGTACCTAAACTTTTTAACAAATTCACACAAAGAGAAAATTGTGAAGCACCTGCACGATGATAAGAATAAGGAACGTTTAACTGCAATCAAGATACTAAAAACAAAAATACTCTGATAAGGCACCAACACATATCCGTTTTTTCCGTATTTTTAGGTCTTATTATCGTCGGTCGTACTAACAAACGATAATAGCTCAACGTTTGCAAACAATACTCGCTAGCTGATTAAATCTGCTGGGAGTGAGATTTCTAAGTGTACAATACATACAATACAATAGGTTTAATGTACTTTGGAATGTACAAAAACCCCTATTAAATCATGAATGTTTTGCCTGGAAAAATGTTTTTGTTTTTCGTCGAATCGGAATCTTGATTATGTTTTCTATTGTCACCAACCTAAATTCTAGTGCAATCGAAAAGTAATGAGAAATACTCTTTATTGTGCTTTAAATAAGGCCATCCTTATTTTGAAATGGTAGAAGTTATTTATATGAAGGTGGTATTTGACTGTGTGAGAGAGTCATGTTAGTTTTGCGTAACTTTTCTTATCTTTCAACTAACGTAAGGTTTACTGGAAATCATTGGGGGTGACCTGTGTTCAGCAATGGTCGTCCTATGACTGAAATGATGATGATGGTTTTGCTATAGGTAAAATACGACAGAATGGAAAAATTCCTTATTTTTTCAAGATTGTCTACATTATTAACAACAATTTAAAAACAAATGATGATGATGATGATGATGATGATGATGATGATGATGATGATGATGATGATGATCAAATACCTTTGACAACATCTCCGTCTCGCGTCTCGTGCTGTGATTTCACATCTCCGGTAGAGTGATCCGCTACTCCATAGTTAAACGCGTATCTGGGGTGATCCTATTAGATAAATTAAATAATATTGTTAGAAAAAAGCTGATAACTTCGTTTTTACTCATTAATGGTGTTGTAATCTTTACCTGCTAAAATTAGTACCTACCTAAACTAATAAAATAATTAAATTAATTGAATTTAATCAAATCAATTAATTAGTGATTGAATCTTAATTTAAAAATTGATATGTTATAATGTATGAAGTAAGAATAACTAATGATTAAAAAGGCTCTTTTAATTTTACTGTCAACATTTTAGACAAAATTAAATTACTTTGTAAATATTTTTTTATTAATTTATTTCACTAATTATTTAATTTAAATAATTACTCACATAATATCCATTGTGTGGCTGCGGTTGATACACAGGATTAAATACTGCCAATTTAGCCTTAGCATGTACCACACTACAAACTATCGCCAACGTCAAACACTGGACCCAACACATTTTGATTTGTCCAAGCTAATAACAGACGGCACGTCAGGTTTGTCAAATGCTGCCTCCCTCAATACTACAATGGTGTTTTCCCAGGCATTTATATGTGGCCTTATTTGCCAGTGAGTGTTGGCCGCGGCAGCCTTGGGGGGCGTGGCAAGCGGGCTTCCGAAAATGAAGTTTCCTTAGAAGCCAGATGCGCGGGCGCAGCGGCGGGTAATTGAGAAAATGATTCGCACGGCACAATGGAGTATGTGGATGGTTGGACGCTATGGGAGGCAAGTCAAGGAAAATGGAAAAGTAGGTTAGATTTTTTAAAATATTTTTTTGTTTCTAGCTGTAACTATAACACCTACGTTGTGGGATAACTGGATCGACTTTCCTTAAATTTTCAGCGATCACAGGGACTGTGTATTTAAGGTAGTCTCTACTGGATTGAAAGAAAAATAACTAATTACCTATATCTAAGAAGTTTATTGAACGATTTCCAAGTTTTTAATTAATTTAACTATATTTAATTAATTTATTGTATCGACCTATGAGGGACCCAAAATATTTAAAAAAATTCAAAATTATACATCTCATCGACTTGGAACTTGATTTATATTAGTGTCAAACTGCAAATGATCTTATTTTAGAAGTGACAAATTGCAGAAGATCCACTGGTTAGCCTTCATGCATTAATAATTAATTATTTTATGCAACAAATGTCCACACATTTCCCGGTCAATATTAGATTTCATCAATTCAGCATCACTTAACTACTGATAATTAATCTATTTTATATCAATTTAATATTTAAATGATCTTGACATTTAAACTTTTAGTTCTTTGCAAATTTTATCTAACCCAAATTATAAGTTTTAAAAACACAAATATGCAGAAATATCGAGAAATAGACCAAAATTTGCACAAACTGCTCATCTTTTAAATAAACAACTTGATACATAGTTACATTATGTAATGTTAATTAAATATCCAAGGTAGACTCCCACTGGAAACATTTGATGTTACTTTATGATTTAATGATAATTATAGTCTTTATACCTAAGTGAATTTTCCATGTATGTAACAATAAAGCGATCAACGGTGACACATATTTTGCAATTGCCAGCNATGCCAGCGTTTGTTTCAAAGAATTTTAAAACATGCAAGACAGTTTTAGCGTGGTTTTAACCTTAATTTCTTCATTCATCCAACATTTTTATGTTCTGTAGATAATCCCTGATCTTTTACTTTAAAATTATAGCGATTTTTCATCATTTTTGATTCCTTTTCGCCATTAGTTGAATTCAGTTCTCTACTCCTAAAATGACCTGCCTAGGGTTCTTCAGAATTTTTTCCTAATCCTCTAAGAAGATTAAAGGGGTCTCCAGACCTGAAAAATCTCCGCGTAATCGGTGTACATACTTACTTAAAAAAAACATACAACAAGCATACCAACCTAATTTAGAAGCTCCTCCTTTTGTTGAAGTCAGTTAAAAATCGCCAAAATTAAGTAAGTCATCTTTATGAAGTTACCTACATCCATCGGTCTAACATATTTTAACTTTAGCTATTGCACTAACGTATGCAGCTCGCGTGCCTTCAATGTTTACCAGAGCTGTGTGACTGCACCGTGGGATAATACTGAGAACACTATGTCTTATGAAGTATTAGCATGTTAGCCTCTATGTTCAGAAGTAGGTCAACATTATTTACTCTGTCAGCTGTGACAAACAAATTCTCTGTATTTTTTCGTGCAGCAAATATTTAGCTGTCTCTCTTGTGTCTTCTATCATTTAACAGAGTTATAGATTGGTATCAGACTTATGATTCGTTATAGGCGTCAGACCCCTATTAAAGTACCTACTGACACATGTTTATTTTCAGGCTGTGAGGTTCATTAATTCTACCAATCTAAATCAAAATAAAAACAATACAAAATGTGATTTTACATTGCGTGTCCCATGGAAATCAAACCCGAAACCTTTAAGTTTAATTTGTCATTCTGTAGTAACATAGGTACTATAAGAGTTTGTACTCAAACATACTTAAATTGAGCTTTCCTACAAGCTAATTAAAAAAACATTTTAATTACAAACCTCTAACAAACCAGGCCTCTTTTAAATCAAATTATCCCATCACCACATTTGATTAAAAATTCGATCCAACCTAAAACAATAAGCTGTGTGGAACTAACACGGTGTAAACAAGCCTCCGAGGACAATGCTGCCTTCCGCCTGTTGGTGTTGAGGCTGCCACATCCTGGCCAGACAATGAGAGTCCTCTAAGCAAATATTCTTTGTCGGTTGCTGTTTGAAGTTTTGGTGATACGGTCTAGAGATCCGTGTTGTAAAAGCATCCCTTCGGATGCCAAGTCAGATAGATACTTTTTACTAAGCTTGTACTATAAAAACTAGAGAAAACATTGAAATAAATACCTATACCTGATGTGAAAACAACAAGTTGAATCTAGTATAGGTACTAAGATATACGAAATCCCTGCAGTGCGCATGTCCCAACTCACATTTCACCTGTTACCTACATATTTATCAAGTACTTATACTAGCTTTCCGCCCGCGGCTTCACCCGCGTGGAATTTTGTCTGTCACAGAAAAACTTTATCGCGCGCGTCCCTGTTCCAAAAACCGGGATAAAAACTGTCCTATATAATTTCCCGGGATTCAAACTATCTCTATGCCAAATTTTATCAGAATCGCTTCAGTGGTTTCGTATTTATAATATTAATATGGAGAATAGATAGTAAATCAACAAGACCTAGTACCTACATATTTATCAAGTACAGGGTGTAAAAACTTTAAATTTAAATTTCCACTAGCTCAAGCAATAAAGAATTGAGTAGGTAATTCCTTCAGTAATTATTTCAAATCTAACAATTATAATATTGAATGCATGTAGGTTATGTTTGAGTTTAGTAAAGATCGAAATCATTGTATTTGTGTACAGACAGACAATAAACTTTGATATCCCATTGAATGTACAATCTGCACCTACATAAACACAATAAATCCATTGATACCATCATGATAACTAAATAGCATTATGTCTGAATCTTTTTCTCAAGATGTAGACAAAGGGCGTATTAGACAACCATGGACATTTAAGACTTGCAAGGTTAAAAACACATAATGTACAACCTTTTCAACCAAGCCAAATTAATCTATTAGCCATTATCAAAATACGTAATAAGCCTACTATAAAACCACAATAAAATATTTACAACGTTCTTGAAAATCCGTAACCATTTATACAAATTTTCCCGCACAGTGACCAAACTATATTGACTGAATATTACAATATATTCTTTTTCGGTCCGTATATTAGTTTGTCAGGTTCTCATATTTACGAGTACAATCATTTGGGAATTAGAAATGAAAATTAAGTAGGTATATCCAAAACATAGAGTTTATTGGCTTTATAAACAATAAAGATTAAGCTAAATACAAGCAAGCAGCTTTCTAGTTCATAAGTAACTAAAAGGAAGTTAAAACTTCCAAAACAAGTATAACAACACTAATTTATTATCAGGTACTTGTATAACAACAATTTCAACAATTCTAACACTAAATATAAATTAGACAAGATAACAAAATATTGGTCTTAGTAGGACCTAATATTAAATAGGCAAAAATCAACAATAAAACTTATACTAAAACATGTAATATCGATACATCACATCATTATTTGCAACTGATTCTGAATTTCAAATAAAACATATTGTTAAACAACCATTATCTAAATACGTATGTCACTAATAAAAAAAAATGAATGGCAACTCTGAATCAACCGTTTGCTTTTACAAGTCAACTAATTTAACACGATCATAGACTATTGTCACAATCTAATTTAGTCCTAACTGATATCTAATAATAGTTGATAAAATATCCTAAAGCAATTCATCAAATTGTGTTTTTTTTTAAACAAAAATCGTTCTCTATGTTACATAAACTTGTCCTGAAAACTCAAAAATGATCAGAAATATCTTAGCACGTGTGTATATTCAACGCAGATATATATTTTAAAAGTACCGCGTCCTTTGACTTTATTTCGTGAAGCCTGAAATTCAGTGTAAACAGCACTATAGAAAGCTGGTCACTGTTACGAAATAACACTAAATACTCGATTAGAATTCAGGAATTAAACCTGTAATTGAATTTCATTATGTAGACCACTCACAGGTTTAAATCCTTTTTAAAAGGCTAGATTCAACATTTATGTATGAGTGTCATTTCTTAACACCAACCACGATCCGACAATTCCACAATGTACAAACAGTCCAAGCCTAACAAATCAAAAGTAGGATATTACGTTCTTCGTAAATCACCTAACGCCTATTCATATTGCTGCATCTACTTTACGTGCACGATTGGATTTAAAAACGACCCTTCAGTTCGCAAAAAGTAGGTAGACGCTCTCTTGTGAACTGGCCCTAAAGCAATCTAATTAAGGGTTCATTAGCACAATCTGGCGGTCCTAATTTTATCCTGTTTTCTTTGAAATTCAGAACTGATTATTACTTAATCTAATGGTGGTGCAAATGTGCAGCTTCGTGTTGCGATATGGGCGCGGTCTTGTGGACGACGGCGTTGAAACCGTTGTGCTTGTCGGCGGTGTAGTCGACCGTGCGGAGGGAACCGTCCGGCTCGACTACGGTATATTGACCTGGAATCAAGAAATTGATTTTTGAGAGAATAGTCATAAGTTTTCTTTCATCATCATCATCATCTCAGCCATAAGACGTCTACTGCTGAACATAGGCCTCCCTCCCCCAATGCTTTCCATGTTGCCCGGTTGGTAGCGGCCTGCGTCCAGCGCCTTCCTGCTAACTTTACGATGTCGTCGGTCCACCTTGTGGACGTACCACGGTGCGTTTTCCGTTTCTTTGATTCATGGAAATTATCTTCATATGGATTGATTAAAAGATCTCTCTGCTGGTCAGCCGGCCACGATGTGACAAGGACAAAAAATATTTAGCTATAAGGGCCTAATTTTCTTTTCAAGATATGAATACACACAGAGATAACCCTCCACTCCTTGATCACTGAAGAGGAGCGCAGATTTTACGAAATTATTTTATTAATTGATCGCTCATCGCTCCGTCACATCGCTCCGCGTCCGTGGACAGACAGCCTTATTTATGGTGTCTCTACCACTTACTTAATTAATAATGAAAAAGGAAGTTCAGAAAAAAAGGGAAATTACCTTTTACAACATCTCCATCTCGGCTTTCGTGGTGCGTCTTAATATCGCCAGTGTGAAAGTCATTCACTCCATACTTGAAAACGTACTTTGGGTACGCCTGAAACAATTGAGAAAATACTTCATACATGGTAACACTTTGACTAACAACATGTGTGCCAATTAAGTGGTATGTAAGTGGTCAGTAGAGGTCAATGATAGCAGTTGTCTAGACTCTTGAAGTTTCAACAAATATGCTTGGTTGACCAATGGCATTCGGTAATCATTTCAAAATAACTATACTCTAATCATTTCGCATTCATATTATTATCATCCATATTGCAAAAACTAAAAGTTATAGAATACTAGTCTCAGTAAAAATCATCAACTTTCTCCTCTCCCAGGGTTATTTGGAAGATATCGCGTCCTAGTAATGAGACCGCCTAAATGATGTCGTTTAGATTGTTTTTTTAATGTTTGTTTTATGTAGTGTATAAAACTCGTAAGTTACAGTAATATTATATCCATCCCAAGCCTGAACTTAATAATTTTATATTTTATTTTATGTCTTTGCCAAAATCGAATCTTCATAAATGCGTGTCACTCTTTTTTTCGTACCATTAAACTTTAAGTATCATTACTTAAGTGTTACCGACTAATAAACATTACGAATTACGAGTATAACAGTGCTACGAATGCCGTAATATCCATTACGTCTAAGTCAATACCCATTTGTATGTGAAAAGCGATCGGGCGTAGGATTTTTCGCACACGTAGGAAACGCAGTAACGTTTGCAGTGAAACTGTTCAAACGCGACCGCGCACGCGCTTATGTAACGATGTTTTTGTTTTGAAGGCGCAAGTTAGAAGTGTTAGCGATGATGTAAAGTTACGATATTTTTCAATGTAGGTAATGTTCTGCTACCTAATCAATTTAAATAATCGTACGTTAATTACAGAATAAAAATGTTCCTTTTTAGAGGTTATTTATAATTTATACTATTTTCAACAGTAAATGGAAAACAATTCAGCGTGAAGATTTAACTGTCAAATGTTTTTAAACATAAGTATTTGGTCTCTTTTTCTTAGGAAATTTTGGGATTAGCCTCCATGTCTACAAATTAGAACATGAGACTGAACATGATGATTGAAACTGTCAATAGCCGAGCATTCGTTCTAGATTTCAAGATTTTAATAAAAAATTTGTTGCTTACTTATTATAACGCCTCCCCAACCGATTTGGTCATCGCAGCGTGGGGATTGTAGGCAAAATTCTACATTTTCCTCTAGTAAATTAAAGAGGTTCGTGCTCCTTTAGTGAAGAATAATATGACCTAGGCTAGACCTAGACCTATGATCTAGGTCTAACTTAGGTATTTCATAATATGCAACTGCCAACCCGCCGGATAGACGCCATCACAAAGGCCACTGAGTCCACCATGGTCCAGTGTACGTGTACGTCTAACCGTCAGAAATGGAAGCACATCGCCAGGAGAGCTACCCTCGGAGATGAAATTACCCCACCATGTACCTCGTCACCGCACTCTGACATGTGTGCCCGACTGAGAAGAAGAATATGCAACTCTAGCTTTTGGAGAAACACACGCTACAACCAAACTTTATAAAGGCGTGTTCTCCTTTCGTTTGCACCACTCTCGCGACTCACGCGCAGCGTCATGTCAACAATGCGAACGTTGCGCTTGCTCAGGAAGTGTGATCTTGTCATTCCTGTTCATTCTCAAACGAAGCGTTCGTTCTTACTTCTTACGTCATAATTCTCTATTGTTTCGTTCTCCTTGTTAGGAGATAAAGTATTGGAACAATTTTTAATTGGCTCTTCCGTTCAGTTTTACCAGTCTGTTAATTAATGAAAATTGGTACGATTGATTGTAGTTTACGATATGAATACTTTACATTAATATTTACGACAAATGCACTTCATTCTCAATTATTGGAAATAATACAAATGTTTTCAGTTCCTAAATCGACTGTGGTATTTAAAAAATATTTATGCAATTTATTTGTTTGTTATTTTTATCGTAATCGTTCTATTTACAAACAGTAGATTTCTATTTTTTTCGTTATTGCTAGACGTTTACAAAATTATTTTGTTAAATAAATATCCAAGATCATAGACTTAAGACTTCATAATCACACACTAATTTAAATTGTAAATTGTGTATCGTACAAATATGTTATACGAACAGAATCATATTTTGTAAATATTATAATTATTTAAAAAATCTGCCAACAGTGTTACCTCACTATTCACATTGAAATGAGGTCGTCAGTTTGTCAACACATAAACATTGTAGCGCAGTGGAACACCAAAACAAATAAAATGTGTTTCTGTTTACGTACAATTTTTAGCGGAAAAAAAAAGTTTTTGGTCAATTAACTAAGTAATTTACAACGCAATAATTTTCCCGTACCTACCATATTAATAACATCCCACCAAAAACATTCTGTAAAAAACTAGCCAAGTCTCGATGGAGCTGCTTGTTTATCTCTAAAAAGTAATGAAATCTAGACAAAGTCGTGCCAAGTCTATGGTTCCTTACTGCGATTTCTTTATTATTATAGTTAATGTTGTGTGACTTGGCCGTTGAAGGGTACAAAACGAGGTGCTCCATGACACCATTGCACCAATCTGTCGCTAGAACCGCTACCCATTGACGATGGAAAATTGCCACTTGGAAAACTTTGATTCAACAATAACCAGTCAATTTTGGGTTTAANAAAATGTATAACTTTGTAAAATATTACTTTTGCTAAACAAACAACATAAACATCCTCCACCAATTTTATTTTAAAAACCCAGTCACTCTCATTCTCATCTCATAAAGTTCAAGTCAAATAAGGTATTCTGGTACAATTGACCACTTCATACGTCCAACAATGCACTTAAGTAAAACGCATCCATATTTGAACGTTTAAATTTCAGTAATAACAATTCAAATCAAAAATATTGTGGTCAATTTTTGAATCGTAGTCACCCCAATTGGGAGGTAATCTTTAAAAGTCAAGGCCACTAGTGGACCAATGTTAACTTGTGTTATTTAAATACCAGCTCATTGCAGTGACGACTGCCTCCCTTTCGAAACTTCACATTTTTCTTCTTGAGGACATCGTGTTGGTCAGGGAAGTGGCAGATTCTAAGGAATTGAGCGATCAGCATTACGAATGTAAATGCATAACTTGACCAATGACAAAACATTTTATGACTCATTTGTTGAAGTAATCCGAGATACAAATTCGTACAGTCAGCGTCAAATAGTTTTTAACAACCATAGTAGCCAAAAAGTAGGTAGGTACGCAACATGTCTTTGGTTGTAAGTTGCGATGTCAATTTTTTGCCCACTGGATGTCACGAACTATTTGACGCTGACTGTATGAATTGCAAAGTAACAAGTAACTTATACATTGGAGAAACAGACTTACGATACTCTTTAATATTGACTTTATCAAAATAAAAATGATATAAACTAAGTACCTACCTGAATAGAATTTAGACTCGTCTTTTTTATATATTTTAAAAGTAAGAAACGTACGTTTTACTCCCATGCACTTATTCAATAAAATTGGCTATGAAATATTCATAACTAAGCAAGATATAAAATGTGGTAAATTATTTGTACCCTCAATAACACATTAGGTATGCTTCGCTTAAGTATAGGTAAATTCAGTAGCTTTGCTTCTACGAGTACCTACCTAATTCTTAGCGTAAAACATGGCACTTTTAGAATAAAAGCTCGTGTGCTTCGTCGTCAACAAACATAAAACCATTTACAAAAAGAAAATTGTTTAGATGTAACTAAACTATCGAAGTTTCTCAAACTTATCTCAAAACTGTCAACTAAATGGAAATAACTGTCGAGTAAAAATTATTACATGGTTTGATTCTAGTTTAAGCGACTTCTTCTTAAAATGGTGATTTGAGAGAGAAAAGTTTTAAATAATGTTTGTAGTGAACGTTTATTATGACTTTTTCATACATGGGAGAATTTTCATATTTTACTCATAATCGTGTAACTGAAACACATTTACCTACTATAAAATATCTACGGAACCTTACACTGCGCGTAGCCCACACGTACTTGTCTTAGAGTTGCATTATGTAATAATCAGACCTATTGCATCCACTACATCTACATATTGTGACATTATTCTGCCCTTGAAACAGGATAATAACTTATGGAAACTGGTTCAATACAAAGTAACAAATATGAAAACTTACGCGCTCCTATTAGTGTTCATAATTAATGTGAACGAGCACATTAAAAATGGCCAAAGAGCTAATGTTCCAACTAATCAATAAATTTAAAATTTAGCATCATAATTTATGGAATCAAAGCACATTTAAGTGTTTATGTAATTTATCGATTCCGTGCATCTCTCAAGAAGCAATTTGTTTACTTATAAAGAACCGGCAAAGCTAGTGGAATTTTCGGGATTGAGGGTTCTTTACAAACTTAGAGGTGTGTGTGTATCTATTGACTAAAATTAACTTTCATCATCATCATCATCATCATCTCAGCCATAGGACGTCCACTGCTGAACATAGGCCTCCCCCAATGCTTTCCATGTTACCCGGTTGGTAGCGGCCTGCGTCCAGCGCCTTCCTGCTACCTTTATGATTATGAAAATTAACTTTGCAGTTTTTAAACTATGGTCGTCATAAATCGCCAAAGGACGCGACTAGTTTAAAGCGAAAAACCTTTTTGTGCTGTGACTACACGGTTTTTGGATTTTCCTTTGCCTGCTCATCTAATTTCATAATTCTAGCTAAAAGAACTGCTTATTTACTCCCGTGAGGATGACAAAATAGACGGATAAAAAACTCTAAGCTACGATTCTTCTGCTCAGGCCAAATATTTAAAGGATTGTTTACATTCTTATGGGGTTAGGAATAAACCCCCATATTCATTCATAACATAATTTCGTGTAACCTCTGCCTTAGCCCGGATTTAACAAAGCGTTTGAAGATGACCGTAAGCTTGATTGCCCTCTTTCGTTCATCTTACCGATCAATCTGAAGCTAGTACAAGTATAATGGAAGACATTGAACAATGATTCACGACTGAGGGCTAGGCTTACCTTCACTTCCGAGTAGAGTTGATT